TAGACTGTAATACAAATAGTTGAGTTTGCCAGGTGCATACAACATTTATGACAGGTTTTCATGAAAGTGTTGGTCAGTTTGTCTGCTTGACAATCCCATTTTGCACTGCAACAATAAAATTGAAGTGAGATAAACAAACTGAGAAATATTTCTTTTTAGTTAAAACAGATGTTGCCAAAGTTTTCTTTTGGGGACATAATTTGAAGTTGGAAAAAGGTCATAAATTGCAGTATATCACAGAATATCGCAATATATTTAAAATCTCAATAATATTGTCTCATGAAACAAGTATCGTGATAATATCGTATCGTGGGGCCTCTGGTGATTCCCACCCCTAGTGACTTCCCATAATTCCCTGCTTGTTTTTGTTTCTTCCCTGAGGGAGATTTACAGTGCCACGGCGAGGACTGTTTCTCACTTCCTGTCAGAGTCGCAGCCAGTAATACCGATCACACTCGGCCAGAATCCTCCAAACAGATGAACAGAGAACACACTCCAGCCAAACCTCCAAGAGAAACCACCACACACACACTGATCAGGGCACAAATGCTTGCTCAGTAGTGCACCTAAAGTTTTGAATATCGTGACAAAGAAATTTTTTATTTTGTAACTTATTTAAAAAAGTGAAACTCATATATTCTAGATTCATTACATGTAAAGTAAAATATTTCTCTAAAGTTTTTTTTGTTTTAGTTTTGATGATTAGAGCATACAGCTATAGCTATATATATATGTGTGTGTGTGTATATATATATATATATCATTTTTTATTTTATTATTTTTTTTTTTTTATGAGTATGGTATTATAATGCCAAAGAAAGTTCAGCGAATAAAAATCCACATCCATCCTGAAGACAGAAAGAGTTTTTCTGACCCTCTTGTTTTCAGGATTATTTATATACTATTATAGTTTTTATTAACATAGTTTTTTATATTTTACATTTTAGTTAAAGTTATGTATACATTATAGTTAAAGTTTTAGCATTTTTATTAGCTTTTTTAATGTGTATATTATTTTTTATTTACATTGTTTTTAATGAATATGAAAAATTGTTGGCAACCAATTGAAATAAAATGTGTAAATTTTTAAACATTGTATTTCAGTTAATGTTTATTTTCATTTAAGTAACAACTGTTTATTGAATATATATATATATATATATTAAGAAGAAGAAAAAAAATATATATATATTATAAAAAATTAGAATGTTTATGTATTTATATTTATAATGTTGACAGTTGTGATTTTCAGGCCTAAAAAATTCCTGAAAGTTACAAAAAAAAGTTACAAAAAATATTCTGCATTTTAACCCCTTCAATTTAGTTATTAATTTTGTCAATTTAATTAGTTTTTTTAATATGTGTATATTTATTTGTTTTAGTACAAGTTAAATGAATATGAGAAATGGTGCCTTGCCAACTAGATGAAATAAAATAAATAAGTTAGATTTTTTATATTTCATTTGAGTTAGTTTATTTCATTCAAGTAACAAAAATTTTTATTTTCTGGTTTTATTTGTATTTTTAGTTAACTATAATAACATCACAGGGGTCACGATCCATCTCACACACACACACACACACACACACTCAACTGTGCCAAGAAATTTTTGGGAGCTGTTTATTTTTTTTCGTGGCTCTTACATAAGAGGTCAGTTTTGCCTGGATCTATTTATTTTTTCATTTTTCCAGTTGTTTTAACGTTCCAGTCGATTCTCGTGAGAAGCCTTTGAATATTCAGCTGGATTAAAGATGGCAGAAAAAAACAGTCTTTTCTCGGAAGAGAAACTGAAGAACTTGTTTTTCAGATTATCGAGAGAGAAGAGAATTTTCTGTGTTTCAAACACCTGTCTGCAAACGATTGCTAAACACTTCAAAAATCATGTGATGTGAGTCAGATTTGAAATATTAATACTAATTAATAAAAATAATATGAATATATTAATAAAAACTCTACTTTTTTTACATTTCCTATTTTTTGGAGAGATATGCATTTGTGTCTTTTTTCATAGTTATGTAAGAGGTAAATGTTTTTCTGCTTGAATTTTTTCCTTTACATCATTATTATAGCGGATTCTCGTGTGAATCCCAGTGTTTTGAAAATAGCAGTATTAAAAAGCTGAACTAACAGATCATGTTTCGTTTGGATGTGGTTTGACATCTGAAACATCTGTAGCTGAACGATGCTTTAGAATCACATGATCACACCTCAGACGTCACACCTCTGAACCTGAAGCTGCATGACTTTATTAGTTTTGGTTTGTTTGCTTGTTTTGCATTATTAATCATTTGTTCTGTGTTCCTGCATCCCGCTTCTTCTCCACACCACACACACTCACCTGCTTCATGCTGCTCTGTTGCACGTAGCCCTGGAGGGTAAGACCTGTGTGTGTGTGTGTGTGTGTGTGTGTGGGTGTGTGTGGGAGTGGGTGTGAGTGGGTGTGTGAGTGTGAGTGGGTGTGTGTGTGTGTGAGTGTGAGTGTGGGAGTGGGTGTGTGAGTGTGAGTGGGTGTGTGTGTGTGTGAGTGTGAGTGTGGGAGTGGGTGTGTGAGTGTGAGTGGGTGTGTGTGTGTGTGAGTGTGAGTGTGGGAGTGGGTGTGTGAGTGTGAGTGGGTGTGTGTGTGTGTGAGTGTGAGTGTGGGAGTGGGTGTGTGAGTGTGAGTGGGTGTGTGTGTGTGTGAGTGTGAGTGTGGGAGTGGGTGTGTGAGTGTGAGTGGGTGTGTGTGTGTGTGAGTGTGAGTGTGGGAGTGGGTGTGTGAGTGTGAGTGGGTGTGTGTGTGTGTGAGTGTGAGTGTGGGAGTGGGTGTGTGAGTGTGAGTGGGTGTGTGTGTGTGTGAGTGTGAGTGTGGGAGTGGGTGTGTGAGTGTGAGTGGGTGTGTGTGTGTGTGAGTGTGAGTGTGGGAGTGGGTGTGTGAGTGTGAGTGGGTGTGTGTGTGTGTGAGTGTGAGTGTGGGAGTGGGTGTGTGAGTGTGAGTGGGTGTGTGTGTGTGTGAGTGTGAGTGTGGGAGTGGGTGTGTGAGTGTGAGTGGGTGTGTGTGTGTGTGAGTGTGAGTGTGGGAGTGGGTGTGTGAGTGTGAGTGGGTGTGTGTGTGTGTGAGTGTGAGTGTGGGAGTGGGTGTGTGAGTGTGAGTGGGTGTGTGTGTGTGTGAGTGTGAGTGTGGGAGTGGGTGTGTGAGTGTGAGTGGGTGTGTGTGTGTGTGAGTGTGAGTGTGGGAGTGGGTGTGTGAGTGTGAGTGGGTGTGTGTGTGTGTGAGTGTGGGTGTGGGAGTGGGTGTGGGTGTGTGTGTGTGTGTGTGTGCGTTATTCACTGTATGACACTGTCTTCTCACACTCTTCGTCTGATTAAAGTCAACAGTGGATGTTTTTCTGTACATATGTCTCATGGGATTCATCATCAATTTTAATTGAACACAAAGTATATGATAATAGATTTTTCAATTATAATAATGACTGTCTTTAAAAATTCTAATTGTATTCTAAACGTTTTACTTATAAATTACTTATTTATAAAATAGAATGTTAATTAAACAAATAAAGAATTTAAAGAAATCGAGATAAAAAGTATTTATTTTAAAAATATGAAATATTGTTTTTGTTGACCTGCATGTGACCATTAATAAACATCAGAGAATCTATGATTATAGATTTATCAATTATAATTATGACAGTCATACACTTGATAAAATTCCAGTTGTATTCCAATCATTGTATTTATAATTCACTTATAATTATATTATTTATAATAAATTAAATCATGAAAAAACTAATAATTTTAATAAAAATCAATCAAAATAAAATATTTTATAAAAAATCATGAAATGTCATGTGACCGTTAATTGACATCAGAGAACCATAAATGATTTTAGATTTATCAATTATAATAATGTCTATCGTCATAAAATTCCAAATTTATTCTGATCATTTCATTTATAAATCACTTATATTTAATTAAATAAAAAATCTAATTGAAACAAATTAATGATTTAACAAATAATACAGTTAAAAAAATATTTACTAAAGAAGATGAAATATTGTATTTGTTTACCTGCATTTCATCTGACCATTAATAAAAATAAGAGAACTGTGAATGATTTTAGATTTACAAAAAGGACTTCATAAAAGTTTTATCTTTATCATTTTTATTTATCTTTATTTATTTACTTTTATCTTTTATCATTTTTCTTCAAACAAATATTCAACATTCTAACGATGTTTATGAGATTTTATCTGAAGAATAATTAACTTTTATGATTTTTAAGTCTGGAAAAGTCATGAAAGTTAGTAAATAAAGAAAATTAATTAAAAGGAAATGAGTATAAAAATATTTCAGTATTGAGCTCTGCAAGGGCTAATGTAGATCAGTTTAATCATTGAAACCTAATCAAATCTCAAATCTGATCTATGTTTAAAATCCATATCCAGTAATCCTAAGCATTAGGAAACAATCTTGGAAAAGTGGTGTAAGTTCACTGGCGTGAGTGTGGGAAAGTGTTTTTGTGCTGGTGTAATGCAGTAGTGCTGCTGATCACATCCTGATCCAGTCCTGTCCTCACTGTCAGATCCAGCCTCAGGAGATCAGTCCTCCTCCCACAGCAAACCTGGACCGCTCCAGTGATAAGGTGTATGAGCACGTGACGGGGCTGGTGAAGGCCGTGATCGAGATGTCCAGCCGCATCCAGCCCGCGCCGCCCGAGGAGTACGTCCCCATGGTGAAGGTCAGCAGCAGGGCATGCTGGGATGCTCTCGTGACGGCTGTCTCTGTGTGACGTGTGTTTGATGGGTGTCTCTGGTGTCTCCTCTCAGGATGTTGGACTGGCGCTCAGGACTTTACTGGCGACGGTGGACGAGACCATCCCAGTGTTACCAGCCAGCACTCACAGAGAGGTCAGACATGCTCAGACTCGCCTCTAGAGTTACATCAGGGACTAATCGGTGCTTTTTTGGGAATAAATCTTTATCCGGAATAGTGTTTTTCCATTCTCCTTGGGACAAAACTAATTTTCAATTTCAATTTTCAAAACTCAATTAAGTTTTAAATTTAGTTATTTAAAGATTAAATGATTTTTGTAGCATTAACCGTTGCATTATTTGCTTTGAATTAATAATTTTATTAGTGATTTAATTATATATATATATATATATATACAGTATATAATTTGTTGTAGCCCTACATACTACTCTACTATATATTTTCGTATACTATTTTTGCAGCAATGTTATTATCATTAACTAAAACGAAACCTAACGCTTGAAATAAAATAAAATAGAAATATTGGATGAAATTTTTTTTAAGGGAAATTAAAATTCGAACTAAACTGAACTAAAATTCCTAACTAGAATTAAACAAATACTGAAACTGAACTAAAATTCCTAACTAGAATTAAACAAATACTGAAACTGAACTAAAATTCCTAACTAGAATTAAACAAATACTGAAACTGAACTAAAATTCCTAACTAAAAATAAAAAAAAACAGAAACTGAACTAAAATTCCTAACTAGAATTAAACAAATACTGACACTGAACTAAAGCTAAAACTGCAATACACAATAAAATATAAATAGCAATATTTAGAAAAAAAAATAATAAAAATTACAAAACATACTATGCTAAGAAAAAAAAAAAACTTTTTTTTAAAATTTTGTTAGAAATATTTTGGAGATGATCGCTGGATGCCCCAACATACTATAGGCATACTATAGTTTGAAATGTGTATAATTTCATCTCCATACTAATTCACGTTAATAATAATAATAATAAATAAAATTTTATAATAAAGGTAATTATTTAATTATATTATATTTCTTCCAGCTCCAGTATATCATACTGTCAATTCAGGATGCATGATTTGGGGAAAATGTATAGTTTGGGGAATAGTTATTTAAAATATGGAGAGAGAAAAAAAACTCCAGTTTTGTAGGGCTAGACCATATGGCCCAAAATCTTGTGATTTACATGTTAATATGACTAAATAATAATAATAAATAACAATAGTTTATTATTTAGTATTATTCAATATTACTATTATAAAATTGTATTATTACTACTTTTAGTATTATTATTATTATTACTAAATAAAATAATATGATGTTGTGTATTCATTCAAAATAATATTGTAATATTCCAATATAAAAAAAATTTTAAAAATCAAGTTAAAATAATATGTGACCCTGGACCACAAAACCAGTCATAAGGGTCAGTTTTTCGAAATTGAGATTTATACATCATCTGAGAGCTGAATAAATAAGCTTTCCATTGATGTATGGTTTGTTAGGATCGGACAATATTTGGCCGAGATACAACTATTTGAAAATCTGGAATCTGAGGGTGCAAAAAAATCAAAATATTGAGAAAATCATCTTTAAAGTTGTCCAAATGAAGTTCTTAGCAATGCATATTACTAATCAAAAATTAAGTTTTGATATATTTACGGTTGGAAATGTACAAAATATCTTCATGGAACATGATCTTTACTTAATATCCTAATGATTTTTGCCATAAAAGAAAAATCAATAATTTTGACCCATACAATGTATTTTTGGCTATTGCTACAAATATACCTCAGCGACTTAAAACTGCTTTTGTGCTCCAGGGTCACATATAATAATTTTATTTTACAGTACAACTGTAAAGCAGCAAAACAAATATTTGCCTTAATTTCGTCTTCTTCAAATGTTTAAACCATCAAGCTTTTATTTTTGCCATAAAAATGCATGGAGCCCTTAATGCTTTCTTTTTTTTTGGCTGCACTTGTATTTGATGAATCATGCAGCCTCACGTGTGCTGTGTTTGTGTCAGATCGAGATGGCTCAGAAGCTGCTGAACTCGGACCTGGCGGAGCTCATCGGTAAGATGCGTCTGGCGCAGCAGTACGTCTTGACCAGCCTGCAGCAGGACTACAAGAAGCAGATGCTGACCGCGGCTCACGCGCTCGCCGTCGACGCCAAGAACCTGCTGGACATCATCGACCAGGCGCGGATGAAGATGCACTGACTCCTCCTGATGCTGGATCATCAGCCGGACCTGCTGAACTCGGACCTGGCGGAGCTCATCGGTAAGATGCGTCTGGCGCAGCAGTACGTCTTGACCAGCCTGCAGCAGGACTACAAGAAGCAGATGCTGACCGCGGCTCACGCGCTCGCCGTCGACGCCAAGAACCTGCTGGACATCATCGACCAGGCGCGGATGAAGATGCACTGACTCCTCCTGATGCTGGATCATCAGCCGGACCTTCAACACAGCACACCCTACACAAATACACCTTCATTACAGAGATTGGTGCATTTGGTGGAGCGGAGAGGATATTGCAGACGTATCGTTTTATAACCGCTTTCTCAGCTTTAACTTTCTCAGCGCTGGAGAACCTGCAGCTGGAACCCAATGAACTCCAATAATGGTTTTCCAATGATCCAAAGGCTTCTCAACATCACAAATGATTTTATATATTAGTTGATCTCAGACTTCGGTGATCAAGGTGCTTTAACAACCTCCTCTTGAGAAACTCAGGGGTCCGACGCGCCTCTCATGAACAGACTCAAAGCCAAACCACAGTCATATTTAACAGATCTTTTAAAGGAATCGCAGCTATTGTATGAAACAGAGGGCAATTCCAATGCCAATATAGTCACATATCAGTCACTTGAAGCACATATTGATCAATTGTTATAATCGAAGCTGCCTTCTGAATTGATTTTAAGAGACTTAATTCTGTAAAATCATGTCATGTTGTTTTTTTTTTACCACACTAGGGTTGAAGTGGCCCGTTTTGAGTTCGGACTAGAATTAATTTTGTGTACAGAACAATCGTGAAATCCATTTTGTCATTGATATAAATTATTCTCAGGAAGAAGCAACTGTACAGATCTTTTAACTAATAAAAGGTTATCATTATCTTTATCTGAATGGGTCTTGGTTTTATTTCTGCTGGATAGCTATTAGTCCTTTTGATTGAACTTTTTTGGTGCGTAATAAAAGGTAATGGTTGGGTTAAGGAGTTTAAATTATTCAATTTATCAGTTATTTCATTTAGTGTTTATTTTAGTTGATTGTTTTAAAATGCAGCTAAGAAAAAAAATTCTAGTCACGCTCTGAAATGAAATGTCGACTAAAATCATGGTCAAACTGAACACACTTTGGATAAAAAGCGTTTGCTAATTTATGAGTTTTCAATTTTTTTTGATGCCAAGAAAAATATTTTTAGATTTCATAAATTATATTTATATCTCATATATTACACATTTGTATCAAAATTAATCACGTTGCATTGTGTAAGGAAAATGCTAAGCATTAAAGTCATGTTGGACAAAATAATCATAATTAGAAAATGTTTGGCCTTTTTTTTTTTACATTTCTGAAAAATCTCGGTGCTACATGAATAAATGTAAAATAAATGTGAATGCACCGACCTGTAAAGTAAAAATGACTACAGTATTAATAAATATGCAAGTGATATTTAACGAGTTCTTTTAGGTGGACTTATTCCTATAACATAAGCCTAACTTTAAAAATATACAAAACACTGCACAAACCCATGGATGTGAAGACTTTTAAACTTCTGGCTAATGTAGGCTCCATCTTTTTTTTTTTTTTACACTTTATAAACTGCTTCATACACAAAGGATTAATGTTTTTTCCATTTTTAAAGTGGAAGATTCTTTAGAAACTCGAGGTTGCACACGCAGGAAGGTTTTATGTATAGCATGAGCTGGTGCACAGCAAAAATGTCAACATTTAACAAGGTCTTAAAGCATTAATATTAACAATGAGCAATTTATATGTTACAGTATTTATGAACAGCTGCATTTTTATTAACATTGTTAATAGCTCTGAGAACTAACATTCAACTTTTGAGTAGTGTATTAAATACCAAAGTTCACATTAAGATTAATAAATGCTTAAGTACTTTTTTTTATTAGTTTGTTATACAATCTAATTATCAAATGCTAACAAACGAACCCTTTTTGTAAAGCGTCACCCAAAACATGATTGAACTTGCATTAAAAAAACCCAATGAGACATTAGCATCTCAGATTATGGTTTGAAAGAAACAGGAACAAAGTGAAAAACGTAAAATTCTTTAGGACAAGTGAATAGTTTGGTTAACCCCAACCCAGCAACGACACAAACAGTATTGAGAGTTTCAAAGTTTTTTATTAAAAGAGCTGTTTTAGTCAAACAGACCGAAGCCCATGTCATCATCAGACTCCTCAGACTCTTCTTTCTTTTCCTCTTTCTTCTCCTCCTCTTTGGCTGTAATGCAAACAGAAAACGAGTTCAGAAAGTGAATCTCAGTGCATATGAAGCACCTGAAGGAGAGCGAGAGGTTACCTGGTGCATCTCCACCTGCAGGAGCAGCAGCAGCACTAGCAGCAGCGGCCGGAGCGGCTCCACCACCGGCTCCAACGCTACAGATCAGACTGCCGATGTCCACGCTGGCCAGAGCCTGAGCACAGGAAGTGACATCAGACCTCACCCCAACACACTTCTCAAGCTTCAATGTTCAAGGTTCCCCCCAAAAAAGTGCAAGTGTTTCCATCATGGACTGGGAAATAAACGCACCTTAGCGAAGAGACCAGGCCAGAAGGGCTCGATGGACACACCGGCGGCCTTGATCAGAGCGATCAGCTTGTCCTCCTGCAGAAACAATCAAAAGAGAACAAAAACATCAGTTCGTGACCCTATCTGGATGTTTTCCTAACAAAATAAGTAATATTGTGGTAATACAAAGGTAAAGTGGTGACATCAGATGCTAATCATGGTGCTGTCAAACAAAAAACACAGCAGTAACAGAGTACAATATGATACTCTAGGACAAATACCGTAGTAGCACATGTAGACACCATGATATATGTAACTGTTATTGTAATGGTCAACAGAAGGTCCATCATGCAACGTACTTCAGTACTGTGCCATTACCATGGTACAGAAATGTTACAAGGTGATAATACTGTATAGTGTATGATAAATATCACAGTCTCGGCATTTGAAAGTAAAACACTTAGGCTGCCTTGAATAACAGTAAAATTAGCTAATAAGCTAACAAACAGCAACAGAAAACGCGCGCTTCTCTGTACTAGTTTCACACAACGCGTTCAAACTGTTGTTTTCACGTGTAAACACATCAGATTAAGCGTCTAATACCACACTGGCCCTGTAAATAATAAACTAAGCTATATATGGAAATGTAAAACGCGCAAAATCACAGAAGTTTCATTTATGATTAGACATAGTGCCGGTGTCCCGGATGTTCACGCCGCGGCTCAACCCGACCGCCCTCACCGTGACTGTAACTTCATCATCGTGGAGGATGAGAGCGGAGTAAATACAGGCCAGCTCGGACACAGATGCCATTGTACTTTTAGCAGGTTAATGTTTTAGACGTGGATGCCAAAATTTGACGGTGCTAGTCGCCGGATTCAAAGACCTTAGCTTCGTGAGAAGAACCGAGCACCTCAAACACAGCGCTGCCAGTGTACGGAAAAGGCCGAAGGGGGGCGGAGCGATGGCTTATATAGCCTTGCGCGTCACTTCAGTAGGCGGGATCTGCGTGGAGACCGAAAGCTGTGATTGGCTCATCTCTTCTGTCAATTATTTTGTATATCCGCGTGTTTATGAGAGCGCTGAATATATTAGATATAAAATTAATATATAACTGGAAAATGCGCAAAAAGCAAAACATAAAATCAAACTTTCATAAAATATTAATTCAAGAATAATTCGTCTTTTAAACTAAAAAAAAAAACCTTTTAGCTGCAGCGATTTCATCACATGTTAATACCATGGTACTATAAAATTACCATATTCTGTTAAAAAAAAAACATTGGTAATAGCACAGTACTTATACTTAGTACTTTACATTTATGAATAAACTTATTTTTATAAACCACTGGTGGTTTCGTAGCCAATAATAGTTCAATAGTTAATATAGTCAAAAATTACCGAGTGAAAAGCATAAAAGCTACATAAAGAAATGAAGGCCATAGAAGGCATAAACTGTTTAATTAAGTCTCTGTAATTAAGCAGTTGAATCACAGAAACACTTTTAATGGAATGAAACACAAAAACAAACGTACATCATTCTCTCTGAACACACAACCAACAGTCATGTTACTCAAATGAATCCATATTCAAAACAAATCACGTAATTCATCTGAAACTCTGGTCTTTTGGCACCCTTGTGACATGGTCTTGATTTCAAAACACTATCTGAGACTGAATTAAAGGTCCCATTGAAATACATTCTGTAAAATTAAACCAAGCTTTTTTTTTCCTATAACTGAAGGAGATATAGCAAGGAGATAAAGTCGAGTCAACAGCGAGAAGCCTGTGCAGTTTCTCTGATTAGAAGACACAACTGAGCTCAGACAGACACATGCTGTATGGTCCTTTGTTATTGAATCCGATGACTGATCTTAAGATAATGCGGAGCTGTTCTGTTGTCAGGATGTCAGTCTTTATGGGATTTTCCTTTGGGCTTTTCATCGTAAGACACGCCGTACTCGTTCACTCTGGTTTTATCCACTGGATAGAGCCTGAAACCACATCAGCATCTCATGTAACATCTATATGGATTTAAACATCAGCTCTGGATCAGTGTTTGACTGTGGTTTCTCACCATCTCTGATAGAGGTACACGAGGAACACCACGTCATCTCTGAAACACGCTAACCGGTGTGACGTGGGCATCGTGATGATGAATGCAAAGACGTCATCGATAAATGTATTAAAAGCCTGTTGAGAAACATAAGTGTTAAAATTATGAAGAACACTATATATAGGCCTCCATTACTGAAACACAAACCTAAAGATATGCAATGATCTAGAATTTGTTTGTCAATATTAGCAGTCAATAATGAATTTATTAAATCAGATGACTAATACGAGAAATAATTTTATTAAACTGATTGTTATTTTATTAAATAAATATTCATGCACAATAGGAAAAATGGAGAACTGCTACATTACAAAATAACATGCATCTGATACCCTTTGCAAAGGAAAAAAATAAAAACATTTAAAA